ATAGATAGATAGATAGATAGATAGATAGATAGATAGATAGATAGATACGTAGGTAGGTAGGTAAATGAATGGATGGGTAGGTAAAAATGATAGATGATGGATGGATGGATAGATAGATAGATAGATGGATGGATGGATGGATGGATGGATGGATAGATAGATAGATAGATAGATAGATAGATAGATAGATAGATAGATGATAGGTAGATAGGTAAATGAATGGATAGATAGGTGAAAATGATAGATAGGCGATAGATAGATAGATAGATAGATAGATAGATAGATAGATAGATAGATAGATAGATAGATAGATAGATAGGCAGGCAGGCAGGCAGGCAGGCAGGCAGGCAGGCAGGCAGGCAGGCAGGCAGGCAGGCAGGCAGAAAGAAACATAGAATGGATGGATGGATGGATGGATGGATGGATGGATGGATGGATAGATAATAGGTAGGTAGATAGATAGATAGATAGATAGATAGATAGATAGATAGATAGATAGATAGATAGATTGATTGATAAATGATAGACAAATAGAATAGTGTTATGCCCCTGTCGGAGTCTGAATCCGAGGAGGAAGACAAACAGCTGACAGGGAGTGGGAGTGTTGCTCTGTTGGCTGTGGAGGAGGCTGGGGAAGGGCAAAGTCCAGCTGGGCAGAGCAGGAGAGAGGTAGAACAAGGGAGAGGGAGTTCAGAGGAAGACCCAGGCCCACCCCTTCTTCATCCTAGGGCACGCAGGGAAGAACAGAGAAGGGAGCAACATGGGTTGCGTGGCTTACGAGGAAGGAGAGGGCCCTGATTCCCTTCATTAGCCATAGCTGGGAAGACAGTTGGTAAGAAAGGCAGGCTGTGTGCGGCAGGCTGCTGGGAGCAAACGTGACTTTATCCTGTGTTGTCATGACTTATCTGTGTTCCTGGCGTCTTCCCAACTGTGTGAGTTTTGCCGTGCCTTCAAATCTGAAATTCTTGCTGCTGCCCTGCCAAACTAATTACTTCATTTTGCCTTGATTGGACTTATAGTTACAGTTTTTGTTGACCATGTTTTGGACTGAATTTTCTGCAGTCAAAGGCTGTTCCTGAGAGAGTTTTTCTCTAGCTAGAAAGTAACCAAGACATTGGGGTCAAAGTTGGAGATAATAAAGGTGCTCTTATTGATTAGCTGACTGTGTTGCCTTTGTGCCACGCCCCAGGTCATCACAAATAGAGATAGGTAGGTAGGTAGGTAGATGATAGACAGATAGAATAGAGATAGGTAGGTAGGTAGGTAGGTAGGTAGGTAGGTAGGTAGAGAGAGAGAGAGAGAGAGAGAGAGAGAGAGAGAGAGAGAGAGAGATGATAGACAGATAGAAGAGAGAGAGATAATAGGTAGATAGACAATCAGACAGACAGACAGATACAGAAATACAAGGCAATGGATGAGTTTTGACCTCAATGGCCATTACAGGTAGTCCTCAACTTGCAACTATTCGTTTAGTAACTGTTCAAAGTTGCCGCACTGAAAAAAGTGACGTATGATTATTTTTTCACACTTCTGACCATTGTGGCATCCCTGTGGTCACATGATCAAAATTTGGAGTCCTGGCAACTGTCTCATATTTAAGACGGTCATAGTAACCTGGTGGGGTCACGGGATCCCTTTTTGCGACCTTCTGACAAGCAAAGTCAACGGGGAAAACCTGATTCACTTAACGACTGTGGCAGGAAAGGTCGTAAAAACAGTGCATAACTTGCTTCATATCTGTCTCACTTGGCAGCAGAAATTTTGGGCTCAAATCTGGTCGCAAGTCAAGGATTAACTGTATTCGTATTGGTACAGAAAAGTAATAAAAATGTTTTAGAAGGACAAAGAGAGAGAGAGAGACAGTTTAGTGAAGATAGCTGCTGCCATCTAGATGTGAAAGAATGTGAAAAGATAGTGAAAAAAACAGGAAACCTAAAAGAACCAGAGAAGGGAGAGAAAGATGAGAGAAATGGGTGTCTGTTATTAATTATTAATAATTAAGATTATTATTCTTGCATTAAAACTCCTTATGTGTATGAAGTTGCTTCCGTAATCATAGAACAGAATATAGAGAATAGAATAGAAAGAATAGAATAGAATAGAATAGAATAGAATAGAATAGAATAGAATAGAATTCTTTATTGGCCAAGAGTGATTGGACACACAAGGAATTTATCTTGGTGCAAATGCTCTCAATATACATAAAAATAAAAGATACATTCGTCAAGAGTCAAGAATCATCAGGTGCAACACTTAATGTTAGTCATAGGATACAATAAGCAATCAAATCATACTAGGAAACAGTCAATATAAATCGTAAGGATACAAGCGACAAAGTTACAGTCATACAGTCACAAGTGGGAGGGGATGTGTGATAAGGAGTGATGAGAAGGTCAATAGTAATAGTAGTGCAGACTTAGTAAATAGTTGGACAGTGTTGAGGGAATTATTTGTTAAGCAGAATGATGACTTTCGGGGGAAAAACTGTCCTTGTGTCTAGTTATTCTGGTGTGCAGAATCGTTTTGAGGGAAGGAGTTGAAACTGTTTATGTCTGGGATGTGAGGGGTCTGTAAATAGTTTCACAGCCCTCTTTTTGACTCGTGCAGTATACAGGTCCTCCATGGAAGGTAGGTTGGTAGCCATTGTTTTTTCTGCAGTTCTAATTATCTGTCGATTTATGATTCATGACCAATCATTAAGCAGCCATTCAAAGGGATCCCAAAAAGGTACTTTTGACCTGGATTTGGAGTTCCAATGGTCGAAATTTCCAACTGAAATTTCCAGAGGGAGATGAGTTGTAGCTGTAGCACCCTCTTTGCTTCTAAGATGATGTAGTTTTCTACCCCTTTAACTGGCTGTTCAAATCTACTCTCAGCTGGGAGGTGGTGAATTGAAAATAGCTGTTGGCTTTTTTTTAACGAGAGCCAGGAATATTATCTGGATTAATTGGTTTTTAGATTGCTTGTTGTGTTATCCAACAGATTGGAACAATTGGCAATCTGGTTTAGTTAATTGAACAGGTGTACGGTTCACCCACAACTTCCTACCTCTTCTGTACTAGCTGTAGTTTTCCCCCCAAAAAATGATTGGCATATTGTGTGTGCATATGTGTATATGTGTGGGTTTTTTGGATCAACCCCCCCCCCCCCCCCCCACATTTTCACCTTCAACAATATAATATTTCTGGCACTTAAAATCAGAAGAAAATATGTATAGCTCAGGGCTGAACTGTGGATTCCTAAGTGCTCTCTGAGCTTGGTGGCAAGCCACTTGAATATAAAAGTAAGAGCAAACCTCTCCCTTCTACCACTGATGCTGTTATATAGTTTGGTAATTAAAGGTCTATAAGGAAATAATCAAATTCAGAGAGCACCAAGAACCCAGAGTTGTCCTCCTCCTCCTCCATTGCAAACTCCATTCCTTTCTAGCACTGATGATGTTACCTTGGTGGGTAATGAAATGCCCTGGAACAGCAAAGGACTGGCCCGGAGTGCCTCTGCTAGCAAAAATGGAGCTCATGATGACACAAGGGTCATTCACTGGCAGAGGGTTGCAAGAGGCCGTTGCAGCTGAAAACGGAGCTAGGGAGCCCGTTTTCTCCGGCAGAGCGCTCAGGCCACCACAGGTGCCCCCAACACTAGTGACGTCGAGGTGGCTCCCCGAGGTCAAACACAACCCTGATGTAGCCCTCAATTAAATGGAGTTTGACACCCCCATTCTACACCGTCTCCAGTTACAGAAGGTCACTTAATGCTTTGTTCAGAGTATTGCAGCTTAAATTCAGCGCCAGAAAATGTAAACACACATGGCTGAGGCTTCATTTAACTTCTTTATAAACGTATAAAGTACATTTTACAATACCAGTTGTAGATTTCTCCAACATGGAGAAACAGAAACCTCAAACAGAAGCAGACATGTTACAGGCTCAGAGCAGAACAGCAACTCAGGAGCTCAGAAACAGACATCAGTTTCACTTTAATTCCGCAGGCAAGCATTATACACAGCAGAGGAGAGAAGCAGTTTCATCTTCAACAGACAGACTCAGAGCTCAACATAGCTTCAGAGCTTAATATAGAGCCATGCCTAGGCTACTTCTACTTTCAGTTTCCAAACAGTCCTCACTGGCTGACTTAATTGCTATGCCTAATCATTGGCTGACCTTGTTACCATGCTCTATTCCAGTTCATGAATATACTCTTGACGTGCTTTGTGTTCTTTTCTTCCTTGTGTGCAGGAACCAACTTTTCTTTACAAGAACTGGGCTTTGAAGATGTCTCTCCACCCCATGGGACTTTATATCGGACTGACTTAGGGCTGCCCCACGGCAGCTACTCCATCAGTGCTGGCTCCGACGCCGATACGGAAATGGACGCCATCATGTCGCCAGAACACCCGGTGCGATTGTGGGCACGCAGCACCAAGTCCGGGCGTAGTTCCTGTTTGTCCAGCAGGGCCAACTCCAACCTTACCTTGACCGACACAGAACACGACAACACAGAAACAGGTAAGAAAAAGCGACAGCCGGATTCATTCCCCTGGTTGCCACAGAGACCTTTCTATCAAGGGAGTCCTTAGCAGGAGTCAGGAAAAGCCAAGATGGCGGCCGCCACCTCCACATGGTTGCTGTCCTCACTTTGACTTTTTCACGGGGGGGGGGGGGGGGGGGGGAAACGTCCTGTTTTTGATCCATTTCTGTTTCTTTTGTGTGTTTGTATGCGTGTGCGCGTGTGTGATTCGGTTGTGCGGTTAAATCTCCGGCATGTTTGATGTGTGTTATGGAAAAAAATGGAGGAGGAAAAGTCCTAATTCTTGTCAAGAATGCACTTTCACTTCCTTTTGTGTTGCGGTCCAAAATATTTACCCATAAATGACTGAAGGGCTCATGTTTTGAATACACAGGGGGGAAAAAATAGTTGATGGTTTTAAATGTCCTATGGGCTCACGGGGAAGGTCTATCCCCGTGATGGCGAACCTATGGCACACGTGCCACAGGTGGCACGCAGAGCCATTTGTGCAGGCGCACAAGCCCCAGTCAAACTTACCTGCACTGCTCATGCATGTGCCTCCCAGCTGATTTTCGGCCCGTTTGCGGCTGTTTTCTCCCTCCCAGAGGCTCGAGGAAAGCCTCTGCAGCCTCGGGAGGCCGAAAAAACGGTCCTTCCGGAAATACCGGAAGTGCCGAAACAGGCCCGATTTCAGCCTCATGAGGCTCCAGAGGCTTCCCTCAAGGCTCTGGGAGGGCAAAAATGGCCTCCCCCGGGGCTCCAGAGGCCCTCCAGAGGCTGAAAAATGGGCGCTTCCGTTATTTCCAGAAGGCCTCCCGAGGCTGCAGAAGCTTCCTTTGAGCTTCCCGGAGGGTGAAAATAGCCTCAAACAGGCCAAAAATCCGCTGGGAGGCATGCACATGCATAGTGCAGTTAAGAGGGCGGGGCTGGGGTGTTGTACATGCATGCACAAGGGGGGGGCACATTGCATTGTGGGTGCTGACATGCATGCGCGCGCACGCTTTCAGCCCACCACAACAAAAAGGTTCGCCATCACTGGTCTATCCAAACGACAGTTTCAAGAGGGATGCTAATAAATTCCTCCTGCATAAACATCTCCTTTCCTGTTGTCTCCAGCCTTTATCTCTGAATGGATATTTATCTTTGGAAATGATCTTCTATTGAGTTTCCAAAACTCATTCCGATTGACTCCCACTGTCTGTGTAAATAGCTCTGCTGGGGCTAAAGGGACAGAAGTGACACACACACACACACAGAGAGAGACTGCACACTTTTAGCCATTCATCTTTTATGAAAACTAGAAGGTCACTTCAGCCTGGTTGTTTCCACCGCAGGGATGTCTTGAAATTGCGGACACAGTGCTGGAAGATTAGGTCATCAATTCTTTAGGGCATAAAGAGTGAAGTTAATATACAATGGCATCCTGACCTATTCCTTAATAAAGATTTTGCGTGTTGGCCACTCTGAAAAGGCCAGGAGTCCATCTGGGCGATGCTAAGAGAATATCAAAACTGATTTACTTCCTCCCAAAGGTGCTTTTTCTGGAGGTCACTGGACTTTCTTGTTTTGTTTTTTTTCTTTTGAAGACATTTCGCTTCTCGTCCGAGAAGCTTCTTCAGCTCTGACTGGATGGTGGGGAATGGAAGGGTCTATATTCCTTGCAGACAGCTGGTCATTTGCATCCTTTTTAGAGGATCGTTGAGGCCACTTGGAGGTTTATCTGTGTCCTCAGGGTCACTTGTGTAATGCAAATGGGTGTGGAGCCTTCGCAGGATGTTTTTCTGCCTGGCGTCCCTTCCCTGTTGAAGCGCAGGCTGTTGCGGAATGAGTCTGTGTTGTCTGCATTTCAAACTGAAGCGCAAATGGTTCCTGTAGTCTGCAATTTTTCTGGAAATCCGTTCATATTCCTGCACCATTCAAAGGTTGTTCATCCCATCCTTCATTGCAGACAGCCGGTCATTTGCATTATTTGAGAGAGAGCCGTTGAGGCCACTTGGAGGTTTGTCTGTGTCCTCAGCGTCACCTGAATGCTAGGGTCACCTCAACAGTGAAAAGACACAGGGTAGAAAACATCCTGCAGCCAAGAACTCAGATGACCCTAAGAAACAGGTAAACCTCCAAGTGGCCTCAACGACCCTCCAAAAGGATGCAAATGACCAGCTGTCTGCAAGGAAGATAAATCCTTCCATTCCCCACCATCCAGTCAGAGATGAAGAAGCTTCTTGGGTGAGAAGCGAAATGTCTTCAAAACAAAGAAAAAAAACAAGAAAGTCCAGTTGCCTCCTGAAAAAACACCTTTGGGAGTTCTTTTCAGCAGTCCCAAGAAGGCTCCACACCCATTTGAACCACTGAGGTGACCCTGAGGATACAGACAAACCTCCAAGTGGCCTCAATGACCCTCTAAAAGGATGCAAATGACCAGCTGTCTGCAAGGAGTCTCAATCCTTCCATCTTTCACCATCCAGTCAGAGATGAAGAAGCTTCTTGGGTGAGAAATGAAACTTCTTCAAAGAAAAACAGGAAAGTCCAGTTTCCTCTTGGGGAAAAAAAACAACCAAGGCGGAAAAATATTTCTGAGAAATTCTCACTGGCTGACCTGCTCTGGTTCCCCATTTTTCCACTCAGCCTCTGAGAGAACCATGACTTTTTCCATCTTGGCCCCCATCACTGTGAAGGGAACAGCTCGCCCTGCAAAAATTATCCACCCATTTGGTCTTTTGCTTGCCCATTTTGAAACCCCATTTCCACCCATTCTTTTAATCTGGGGACAGAAAAATCCGGAAAGAAATGCAGCTTTGGTTTCCCAACCGTAAAAATTCAACTCAGTAAAATTTCATAGTGTGCTTGGTGCAGGGCATGAGGGAATATTCGACCGCTTGTCTTCGCCTGAATCCTCCATCAATCAACTGACGAGATTCAGCGTTAGGTGACAGAGGCCAAGAAATTGCATCAAAGCGACAAAGGCTTTCCAAATTGTAAACTGTTTATTGTGTTGTCATTGGTCAAAGGAACATAATCTCTGTGTGTGAAGACACCACGAATCATCCTATGGAGCCCTGTCCTGTCTTTTAGCTGTGATCGAACTGCCATCAGTCTGGTTTAACAACTAAAATTTAAAGCAGGTTGGGGTTTTTAAGACCCTCAACATACTTTAACACCATTATAAATAGCTGTCATGCCCCTGCCGGAATCTGACTCAGAGGAGTAAGCCGAACAACTGACAGGGAGTGGGAGTGTGGCTCCGTTGACTGTGGAAGGAACTGGGGAAGGGTAAAGTCCGGCTGGGCAGAGCAGGGGAGAGGTAGAACAAGAGAGAGGAAATTCAGAGGAAGACCCAGGCGCACCTTCTCTTCATCCTAGGGCACACAGGGAGGAACGGAGAAAAGAGCAACGTGGTTGCATAGGTTACGGAGAAGGAAAGGGCCCTGATTCCCTTCATTAGTTACACCTGGGAATGAGAGTTTAAAAGAGATGCAAGCTGAGTGCGGCATCTGCTGGGAACAAACGTGAGTTTTTCTTGTGTTGACTTTGGTTATCTGCATTCCTGGCATCCTCCCAACCGGGTTGAATTATTGCCGTGCCTTCAGGTCTGGAATTCCTTCTCCTGCTCTGCCGGACTAGTTACCTCATTTTGCCTTGATTGGACTTATAGTTACAGTTTTTGTTGACCATGTTTTGGACTGAATTTTCTGCAGTCAAAGGCTGTTCCTGGGAGAGTTTTTCTCCAGCCTGAAGGTAACCTGGACATTGGGGGCAAAGTTGGAGATAATAAAGGGACTCCTACTGATTATCTGATTGTGTTGCCTTTGTGCCACGTCTGGGTCATCACATTAGCTCTCAACTTAGAACAATCCGTTTGATGCAGTGGTGCTATTCTACTGGTTCGGCCTGCTTCTGGCATACTGGTAGCTCCGAAGATCAGTGGAGACTGAACTGGTTCTGTCTGAGGAGCTGCTGTTGGGCCCGCCCACCCGCTGTTCTGACCCAAACCCTTTTCCAATAAAACAAACATGAACCAAAGGGAAGAGAAACCTCTTACGAATCCCCGGTTAAAAGGCTGTTGCAAACTAATTAACTTTGATAAGCACAAGCCTAGCCAAAACTGTGCAGGGCTGCCAAGAATAACAGATAAGAAATATTTTATAACACGAGAGTCTTCAAATACCAAATTAAGATACTGAAATGTCCACGAGGCTGAGTTTCAAAACAGCTTTGCTTCCTGCAAAGAACATTCACTTCACAGCTGGCTTTTATCTTCTTGAAGGTGGGGCCATTGCTTTGCAGCCTTACTCCCAAGTTGCCCGTGCTGTTGTAGCTGATCTTTCCCATAAGCAACCCCGTGTGCGCGCACACTTGGCACAGGCTCCTCGGGAACCTCCTCATCGCTGCTGCCAGCCCCCACAATCTCTGAAGGGCAGCAATCCACTCCCTAATGGTCCTGGCCCCTCATCCGAGTCCTCGCTCTCCTCAGCCGTCTGCACCTGCTGCCGGCGAACCACAACACCCGCCCGGGCTCCCATACTAACCTTTATGGCCTGCTTTTGAAGCGCAGCTGCTTTGCACGGCACAGCCGATTGCTGCGCGTCAGCTGCTGAAGCGACAGGGAGAGTGCAGGATTGCAGGAGGTGCGTCGGAAAGCCTCTGCGCCTGCGCAAATTGCGTGTTTGGCACGCACACTCAAAGTGTGTGTGTGTGCACAAAGCGCGTCCACCAAGGCAGGCCCACTGAACCGGTGGTAAACTACTTTGAAACGCACTGCTGGTTGGAAGTTTATAGCAGCCCTGAGGGAAAAAAAATGTCTTATGGCTGTTTTCCCAACACACAGCGTCTCCAGGGTCATGTGGTCAAAATTCGGCCACTTGGCAACTGACTCGTATTTATGACCATTGCGGTGTCCGATGGTGATGTGATCACCTGATTTTTGAGGCCTTCCGTCAAGCCCAAGCCAACGGAGAAGCCAGATTCACTTCACAGTCATGTTACTCGCTTAACGACTTCG